GAATGGCCGTGCCCGCGGTTATGGGCGATCGACCAGATTCACCGTGATTAGTCTCACCCCTAATAAATCGACCTAATGCACTGTAGTTCAGGTGGGTTGGTTGGGCCTGTTTAACGTGGTGTAGCGTTGATCAGTGGAGATCTAATTTACTTTAATTAATCAATTGTTTTACTGTTTTGCTCAATAAAATGTTTTGCAACCGCCTTTATGCAAATAGCCACAAACCGTCCTTGTGTCCCCTTGCACGTCTGCATCGTTGGTGTGGCTTGCTGAGTACGGTGGTTGTACTCAGCCTTGCTATTATTCCTCCTTTTCAGAAGTGTAGTGCTTCTGAGCTGACGACGAAGTTAGAGGACCAAGGCTCAGACCCCAGTTGAGTTTTGCCTGTGGAGTGGAGCTGAAGCCCCGCTAGGATCACCTTTTTCTGCTGTTGCTGCTTTCTTTCGGTGTGAGGACTAAGTGCCTCTTCTGTAAGTATTTTATGCTTTATTTACGTTTGGAACTGTATATTACTTGTTGTTTTGTGTACCCTGGCTGGTCCTGTACAGGGATTTAATACACAAAATAGTCTGGAAATTTTGGTTAAATTTCTAGGCGTGACAATTTGGCACCGGGAACAGCTTCGATCTACAAAAGGCCGTACAGAATGGCAGCTAATGAGCTAACAAAGGTCAAGGAGCAAGTTGATGAATAGCTGCAGAAAGGCTACATCCGACCGAGTACTTCACCTTGGGGTGCTCCGATCATTTTTGTGGAGAAGAAGGACTAAACGAAGAAAATGTGCGTCGATTATCGCGCACTCAATGAGGTCACTATCAAGAACAAGTACCCCTTGCCAAGGATTGATTACCTGTTTGATCGGTTGAAGGGAGCTAAAGTATTTTCCAAAATAGACCTACAATTAGGCTATCACTAGTTGAGAATTCAGGAAGAAGATATTCCCGAGACAGCCTTCACCACTCGGTATGGGTTGTTTGAGTGCACGGTTATGCCATTTGGACTCACCAATGCACCAGCCTTCTTCATGAACCCGATGAACAAAGTGTTCATGGAGTTTTTGGATAAGTTTGTCATGGTATTCATTGACGACATTTTTATCTATTCCAAGTCAGAAGAAGAACATGAGCAACATCTCCGTCTGGTGCTCAAGAAATTGTAGGAGCATCAGTTATATGCCAAGTTTAGCAAGTGTGACTTCTGGTTGTCGAAAGTTATATTCCTGGGTCACGTCATTACTGCTCAAGGTGTGGCAGTGGATCCATTGAATGTGGGGTCAGTCACCAAGTGGACCCCACCTAAGACAGTGACACAGATTCGGAGTTTTCTTGGACTTGCGGGCTATTACCGTCGGTTCATTGAAAATTTCTCTACGATTGCTAGACCCATGATTCAGTTATTAAAGAAAGACGAGAAATTCAAGTGGTTAGCTGAGTGTGACAAAAGTTTTGAAGAGCCCAAGAAGAAATTAGTGTCTGCTCCTATTGTAATTTTGCCCGATCAGATGAAAGATTTCCAGGTCTACTGTGATGCGTCCCACCAAGGGCTAGGATGTGTTCTGATGAAGGAAGGCCAAGTGGTCTCTTATGCCTCGCGGTAGTTGCGTCCACATGAGGGTAACTATCATACCCATGATCTTGAATTGGCAGCAGTGGTTCATGCCTTAAAAATATGGTGGCACTACCTCATCGGTAATCGTTGTGAAGTCTACATGGACCACAAGAACCTAAAGTACGTCTTCACCCAGCTTGACTTGAATCTCCGACAACAAAGATGGTTGGAGTTGATAAAAGATTATGACATGGGGATACACTACCATCCAGGCAAAGCTAATGTGGTAGCAGACGCTCTGAGCAGGAAGAGCTATTGCAACGCCTTGGGTATTGAAGGCATGTGTGACAAATTGCAACAAGAGCTTGAACATCTCGACTCGGGAATTGTGGAACACGGGTACGTGGCTTCCCTAGAGGCATGACCTACTCTCGTGGATCAAGTTCGAGCAGCTCAGGTAAATGATCCTGAGATAGCGGAGCTGAAAAAGAATATGAGGGTTGGAAAAGCCCGAGATTTCCATGAGGATGAGCATGGCACAATCCGGTTGGGAGAAAGATTGTGCGTACCTGATGACAAAGAGTTGAAAGACCTAATACTCACCGAGGCTCATCAGATCCAGTACTCCATTCATCTCAGCAGTATCAAGATGTACCAGGATCTCAAAGAAAAATTCTGGTGGGCCAGCATGAGAGGGGAAATAGCGGAATTCTTCGCACTCTGTGATGTTTGTCAGCGAGTCAAAGCAGAACATCAGAGGCTTGCAGGACTACTTCAACCTCTTCAGATCCCAGAATGGAAATGGGAAGAAATAGGAATGGATTTCATCACTGGCTTGCCCAGGACATTGTCAGGGCATGATTCAATATGGGTAGTGGTTGACCGTCTCACGAAGGTCGCTCACTTTATACCAGTGCACACCACTTATACTGGAAAAAGATTGGCGGAGCTTTACCTTTCAAGGATCATGTGTTTGCACGGGGTACCCAAGAAGATTGTATCTGATCGAGGGAGTCAGTTCACTTCAAAATTCTGGCAGGAGCTGCAAGAAGAACTGGGGACTCGTCTGAATTTCAGCACAACTTATCACCCGCAGACGGATGGTCAGACCGAGAGGGTCAATCAGATATTGGAAGATATGTTGTGAGCTTGTGCACTTGACTTTGGTGGAGCTTGGGATAAAAGTCTGCCTTACGCGGAATTCTCTTACAACAACAGCTACCAGGCCAGTTTGCAAATGGCACCATTCGAAGCATTGTATGGCCGGAAGTGCCGCACACCTCTCTTCTGGGATCAAACAGGCGAACGTCAACTGTTCGGAACAGAAGTGTTAACGGAAGCGGAGGAGAAGGTCAGAACCGTCAGGGAAAGATTGAGGATTGCTCAGTCTCGGAAGAAGAGTTGCGCGGATAATCGCCGAAGGGAGCTCACCTTTGAAGCAGGTGACTATGTGTATCTTCATGTTTCTCCGCTCCGAGGAGTCCACCACTTCCAGACGAAAGGCAAGTTGGCACCATGCTTCGTGGGACCATACAAGATTTTGGAGCGAAGAGGAGAAGTCGCACACCAGCTTGAGCTTCCATCCAATATGGCTGGTATCCATGATGTGTTCCATGTGTCTCAATTAAAGAAGTGCTTGAGGGTACCAGAAGAGCAAGCCAATTCAGAGCACATTGATATTCAAGAAGATCTGACTTATGTGGAGAAGCCAGTCCGCATCCTTGAGACTAGCGAGAGAAGAACCAGAAACAAGGTTACCAGGTTCTACAGGGTTCAGTGGAGCCACCACTCCGAGTAAGAAGCAACATGGGAAAGGGAAGATGAATTGAAGGCCGCCCCATCCGCACCTCTTCGCCAGCTATTCTGAATATCGGGGTCGAGGTTCCGTTTAAGGGGGGCAGGTTTGTCACACCCTAAAGTTCTTCTCCCAAGCCTAAATTAATTTAATAAATGGTCTCAAGAAATTGTCTGTGTAATGGCAAGAGAGAAACCCTAATTTAATAAATGCAATTAATAATCGAAATTGGCATGTCGAATTTTTCTTGAGTTCTACATGTAAAAATATGTTAACAGGATTTTTAGTGGAATTTTCAAAGCTCTAGAAATAATTTTAACCAATTAAAAATGAGCACAAGCAATAATTAAATCCCTGGAAATTCTCTTTTCCTTCTTCCTCTTCTTTTTCCCCTCTTTTTCCTTCTTGGGCTGTCGGCCCATTTCCCCTCCCCACGCATACGCCTCCCCGCTGGGCCGGCCCGAGGCCGCGGCCCAGTCGCCCCGTGCCTCTCCTCCCTCTGGGTCACTGCAGGTTTGGCCCGCCTGTCAGGCCCGTCCCCTACCTCCGGTCGGCGCCGCACACGCCCTCAACCACCGTCACCCGCCTCTCCTGCGCCTCCAGGGCCACGTCGCCCACTCCCCGCACTCTCCGCGCATGTCCCGGAACCGCAGCCCCTTCTCCCGCCTACGCGCCTGCGCTGAGATGGCCGGGATTCAATTTTTGAATCCCGCCTCTCTCTCCTCCACGCCTCCCCACGTCGCCGGCCGATCTGCGCCCCTATTGGCCACGTCTCGCCCCCTCGCGCCAATATAAAGCACCCCCGCTCCCTCCTCCACCTTTTCCCGTTTTCGCCAAGCTCTCCTGTGCACTCCACCGCTCTAGTGCTGTCGCCCTCCTCTCCGCCACCGCCGCCGCTCCAGTCACCGCTAGCCACCGCGCCGAGCCGCGCCGACGACGCCGTCGCGTTCACCGCCTCAGGCGCCATGCCGTCCACCCCTTCCCCGTCGAAATCCGCCACCGGGGGCCGTCCTTCGTCGCGCCGGTCTGCCCAAAGCCGTCCCACCATCACCGTCGCCATCGCTTTCCAATGCTCGCCGTCGTCGATCGTCATCGGTAAGGCCTCCCCCATTTTCCCTCCTTCTCCAGCGCAGCCTAGCACCGCCGCTTAGCCGGTTAGCCGCGTCGCCGCCGCCGTTAGCGCCGCTCCGCCGCGCGCCAGGGCTGTTGGGCCGGCTTAAGCCGCCTGCGCGCGCCCGGCCGCGCGCCACCTTCGCCGTAGAGGTAGATCGGTGTCACAGCCTGAATTTTCGTTTCAGGATTTAGAAATTATTTAATAAATTATTAATCGAATTTATATTAACTGTTCATTAATTTACAAGTGAAGTTAAATGTGGGAAATAAAATTTCCTTAATTTAAAGCATGGATGGATTTAATTTGTATTAAATTCTCCATGATTAATTATACTCTCTGAAATTTTCTCGGAATTTTCGGAGCTCAATTCCTAATGTTAATAATACAAAGAACAGTTTAGCAATTATTTAAATAATAAATTAATCATTAAATGATCTGGATATTATTATATTAAATACTTTGAGTGTCCAAGTATGTTCAAGATTTTTCTTGGAATTATTTGAGCATTGGAAGTATTTTTAACAATTGAAATATCATCTCATTGGTTAATTTATTTGGAAAAGCAGTAAAATCATCCTTCCTAGTCTTGGGCCGAATTCACCCCATTCCCTCCCTTCCTCTCAGCCGGCAGAAAAGTCTAGTTTACCTCCCTTGCGCTACAGTGCTCCTTCCAGCTCTGGACAGAGCCAGAGCCAGAGCCGAGCCGTGCCGTGCCTGTTGCCGCCGATCCCCTTCCAAAATCCAACCTCTCCGTTGCTCTTATTTCCGAATTGGTTGCGGGAATGGAATCCTCTCAATCTCCTCTTCCTTGTCCCCAAGAAATCCCCAAAAGTTTATATGGAAATCCTTTCCAATTTCGCGGTTCAACCTTTCCTTTTTCCGGCGAAGATCTAAACGTTCCCGAGTTTTTCCCGTCGTTGTGGGCTCGATCCCGGCCTCCCATGCTATATAAAGGACCCCCTAGTCGTCCTCTACTCATCCCCTCAAGTCCCGTCTTCCGCCGTCGCCAGAAACGCTCTCCCCACGCTCTCCCTCTCTCTCCACCTCTGGCCGCCGCTCCAGCCGCCATTCGCCGTCGCCCCGGCCGTGGCCGGTCAGCTCCGCCACCTCCCTCGGCTTCGCAGTGAAGAGCTCTACCCCGGCCACCCGTTCTTTTGCGCCGAACCCCGCCGGAAGTCGCCGTCACCGTGAAGGCCGAACCGTTGCCATGTTTTTATCTCCTGCGAAGTTTTGCCGTCGACTCCGTGGTCGCCGGACCTCGCCGTATCCACTGTCGGCATCGCAGCGGTGAGGAGAAACCCGGCAGCCACCTCCGCGAAGACGCAAGCCATCGGAGCACCGTCGTCACCGTGAAGCTGATCTGTTCCATCTTCAGTCGCGTCGTTCGTCTTCGTCCGTCGTCGCCCTCTGTCGCCGTCGAGTCCATTGGGTTCGCAGGAGCAAGGTGAAGCCCGGCCATCGGTTTTTCTTCGCCGAAGATCGCTGAAACGTCGCCGCCATCGCTGACCCGACCCCGTCGCCGCCTCTACCTCGCTGCCGGCCGTCTGCCGTCATCTTCCATCGTCGCGCCACCCCTCAGTGAGCTTTCCTCTCTCCGATGTCGTTCACCGGTGTAGTTTATCCATAGGGTCTTGATCCAATCTAATCTAATTTGGCCCTTGTGTCGTCATCATCTTCATGTGTTGTCGCCGGAAAATCGTCGCCGCCATGGACAGTACCTCGCCGCCCTTCGAAGCTCGTCGTCGGCCATCTTCCGTAGCTGTCCGTCGTTGGAAAGTGTTGGTAAGAATCGCCATCGCCTTCTCTACCTCCCGGTGCCCTCCGTTTGCATTATTGTGCCGTGGTTCGCCGGCAACCGCCGCTCCTATGCCGTTCACCTGTGAGGTTTTCCCTAGGGCCTTAATCCGATCTGACCTAATCCGCTGTCTATCTAGCGTAGTAGTCGTCTCCGTGTGTTGCCGCCGGGTAGCCATCGTCATCTCTCTCTCTCCGATCATTTTGGTTCGGTGAGACTTCTATCCGTGTTCCCTCGGTTTAGTTTTTAATCTCTCGTTTTTGTCGTCGAGTAGCCGCTGCCATGCAACGCTTAGCTGCTGCCCTAGCGTCGCCGCTGCGCTAGTCGCCTAGCCGTTGTTGTGCCGTAATCCTAACCCTAGCCGCGTGTCTCCGCCAAGTCGCCGCTGCCAAGCCGAGTCAAGTCGCCCTAGTGCCGCCGTGTCGCAGCTATGTGCCGCTTTAACCCAGCCGCCGCTTTAGCCATTGCTCGGTAGCCAAGTTGTCTAGCCGTAGGTGCATCCTTAAATTCCTACCGGCCTATCGTTTGACGTACCAGGGCTTTATCATGAGTCGTGTCTAGCTCACCGATTTAGTCGCGGCCGTTGTTGAGTCATTCACTCGTTCGTTCGAATGAGGTGTTCCCCGTGCTTCGTTCGTTCGTCCGTGTTGAGCTGTTCAGAGCCGCCGGTTCCGTTTGCCGGTTTCGGTTGATCATTTGGGTGATCCGGTGTCACGTAGAATTGACTCGTTGAGTCGGTATCTCGTGAGGCCCGCTTGCCAGATCAATCTAAGCCATCCAATCTTGGTCGACTCGGTCAAGATTAATCTCAGCCATATAAATCCGTTCGCTCTTTTCAGTGGCATTTTATTTCTTTTTAATATATGTCATCTACCAAATATAATCTAATCTATTTCGGAGGTTGCTTTAATCTTTTATCTCAGTTATAAATCATTTGTAAATTATTTAATTAATTTGGAATAGTCTTTTCTTTAATAGGTTTAATTGGAATTAAATCTTGTAAAATTCGTAACTAATTCATATGAAATCGGAATGAGGCCGTTCAAGTCTCTAAAATCATCTAAAATCATGATTTACATGTTTGTTTACTTTATATGTATTGTTTATTTGGTTTTTATTAGTCTTTTTCCTCGTTTTGCGTGTTAGCTTGTCGTTTCCGTCGTTTTGAAGGTTCGTGAGTGCGCCGGAAGTACTCAAGAAGACTAATTGAAGACCGAATATTGCAAGGCAAGTCACACAGATCCTAAACACAATTCCTTTGAGCATGTTGATCCTATATTTAAATTCTCTATTTATTTCAACTGTGCATTTATTTTCGAATGTCACCGGGTGGTGTGAACTTATTCCTTTGTTATGGCCTGCTTGCATTGATTACTCTATTCCTTGATACCGGTTATTATAATTTGACTAGTTGAGCTTTATATATTGGTTCAGCTAGATGTTAGATATAATTGCTTAGCCATGCTTAGAGACATTAGCTCACATAAATGGGATAACGTATGATTTACTATTATTTAATGATGGCTTAATGATAGCTCACGATGGTCAATCGTGATTGGTTAATTAGTTAATGTGCCAACTAAAACTTGATAATGGTGGGTTGTGAGCACATGGTTTTGATGGTCGTGCTCATGACAATTAAGGACCGGTTCACGAGTTTCGGTTATGAAACATTAATCGTGCCAACCACAAGCCAGAATGGGCAACGACTGGACACTTTGTATAACAAGGCTCATTGTGGAGTGCTAGACTGAGAAGTGGCGGAGATAAGCCCATGGGGGTCGCTGGGGAGTCCATGCCTCTGGTTTTTGAGGGGGTGACTACGATCCAGGAACGGTGCACTACTTTGGGTTGAGTTATGCGAGGGGTCTTGTCACAATCACTCAACATGGTGACGTGTCTGGCCAGGCACGGTAACATGCTGGTGGGTTGTGTCTTGTGGGTACAGTGGTACACCTCTGGCCAGAGTAAAACTATTCGAATAGCCGTGCCCGCGGTTATGGGCGGGTCGAACAATGTCTTTCGTGATTAGTCCCACACTACTCATTAATAATAATGTGGTAATTGATGGTAATTAATTTAGCTCCTGGTTTGGAATGGTATATTCCTGGTTTGGAGATAGATCTGTGCAGCCGGGTATGGTTGTTCAGGATGGTTGGGCCTGTGCAGCATGGGTGTGCTGTTCAGTGTTGATTAATATTGATGATTAATTACTCTACTGTTTTACAATTCTTAAATGTTTGCTAAATGCTGCTTTTGCAAATGAGCCCTATATTATGCCATTCTTTGGTATCCTTGTGCATTTGCATATTTGCTGTGTGGCTTGCTGAGTATGTCATATGCTCACCTTGCAATAATCAATCAAACCTCAGTTGAAGACAAGTTGCGAAGGAGATGACGTTTGGCTTATACACCAGTTGAGTTGCCTGTGGGAGTGGAGCCGGAGCTTCGCTAGATTTTATTTTCCGCTGCAGTTTTCTTCATGGTGAGGACTAAGTGCCTCTTAAGTAAGTATTTATCGTTTTAGTTAATTAGATGAATATGTATATTAAATTGTCAGTTTGTGTACCTCGGCTGATTCCTGGACGAGGATTTTATGCACAAATATGTTTGGAAATTATGAATTTCTGGGCGTGACAATCGGGGCTGCTTATCCGCAGCCCACGTGGCCGCCACTTCGGCGCCACGTGTGTGGCACGTGGCGCTCCCCTCTCCCGGTCCCGTGGACTCAGTCCACCGTGGACCGACGTCCCCGAGCCGATGACATGTGAGGCCCGTATGTCGGCTCCGCCCCCCTGTTGATAATTCTTACGACCACAGATAAATCCTTAAGCGCATGAAATACCGCTGTAGCACTTCACCTTCAATTGACCCCAAAAGGATATCGAACTTAGGGAACGTGTGTAATCTACCTAAGGCTAAGACGATCCAAGGACAACAACTGATGATAGGTAGGCTAGGCTAGAGAAGTCTTTCTATGGGTTTTAATTATCTAAGCTAAGTTGAAGGTAATTCCCTATCTGTTGCTTCGGGCACCGACCCTTGCTGGTCTGCCAGTGTGGTTCCGGCTATAGCTCTATGATGTATCTGAGTGTGGAGGATTACTTGGACGGGATTCAGGGCTATCACCACCTACCGCCTACCTCTGACAAATCCGTGGGATACACAACAAACAAAGGTAATCTCTAACCTAGACACCACGCCTAAGTTATTAATTAGTACTCTAATACTTGCGCAGGAACTTCCTTGTCTATCCGGAGTCCTAGTACTAGAGCACTTAGTATAAATACTAAACAATGAAGCCGCAAAGATGTAAATCTATCTTACTTAGACTAAATAATTAAATAACAAAAGAAAGGAACACGAATGCTTACTTTATAGAAGAAGTTCTCCGAACCCAGAGCAGAGTGTATCGACAGCTCCGGTACTCCTGCCGAATGCCTCCTAGGAAGCTACACTCATCGAGGTAGAAGTCGGATGAGCACCAAACTTCCGGGCACTCCTCCAGAGCTTCCCCTCACTCTCTACCTTATTCTAATGTAGAAAAGATACTATAGAGCCTCTTGTAATTCAGCTTAAAGTTGTGTGTTGTGAATGAATTAGAGGAGCTCTATTTATAGCCTCCATATGATGGTTACAGGTATGAGAAACGACCAACTACCCCACAACCGTAATTGGGATGAAATCAGGACCGTCCATGTGAAAGATGGCGATGAACGGCCACCAAAGTGGTTCGGCCGAACTTCCACGGCTCCATTCGGCCCTTTTTCGTCGTGGACACTAATTTTGAGGCCCTCAGCCCATTGGCATGATAGTTGGGCCCATCTGGAGTTGTTTAATTGACTTATGGGGCCTCCAATCCATGTAAATGTGTCCTGAATGCACGGAGGTGCAGTTTGTCGCTTGACGGATGTGTTTTCTTCTCAAAATACCTGTATACACATATTTCACCAACACTAGTGGAAATGATTAGTAATAATACCTACCACTAAGTTGGATAACGTGTTTTATTTCATTATATGCAGGTATTGACGGTCAGATATTATGATTTAAGGACCGTCAACAACACCCCCGCACTTAACCTTTGCTCTTCCCGAGTGAAGGCTATGGACTCTACAACAAAGTTATGACTTCCTTACTAATAATCCTGCAAACAAATTATTCAAAGCCATACATGTACTTGTGGGTCTTTGTAGCGTCTACCATGCGATCCTAAGCAATTGAGAAATGGAACAATCTTGACTCAAGTCACCATAACTTTTCATGAAGAACAACTTGAGTTTTTTTTTCAAGTAACACAAAACTATAACTTTGCTTTGCTCCTCAATTGATTCTCTCGATCACTCAAGGTGTATGATTTTTCACAAAGGCATATGATTGCGCCTTTTCTTTTCCTACCATCTAATAAGGCTCATGTGGAGCTCAGGTATGGAAAAGAGTAGAGCATTACCTGCATCACATATATTGCAAAGTCAAATAATGGATCCACGGAAATACAAGACATACTTTCTGGTCAAGAATGTGCATATGTATGTATGGTGAATTTGTGGGTGGAAAAAGGAAAAATAAAGATAACTCCTTTTGTATACCTCCTCTTCCATTTATTTTCTCTTTTGAAATTTGGGAGAGTGCATGGCTATCTTTTTTTTTCTTTTTTTTCACCATCATGCTCCATACTTATATGAGCATTTTTTTCTTTTCTTTTTGCATAACCATGCCTCTCTCTTTCTTTCTTTTTTTTGAAAGAACTTTGGAGGAAGAGGCATAAATAACATGGAGTATTTATTTGATAGATGAAATGAATGACAAATGGGAGATGCTAACTTCCAGTGTAGAAGTCAAGCATAGGTGGGTGTATGTGGATTGTATGTGTGTTCTTGACCATGAAAGTATGAAAAGCGTTTCACTAGGGTCATAAAACTTGACAACGCTCAATGAAATGACAAGCAGCGTATGTAGCAAGATAATCATGAATGATCAACCTATGGCTCTAGCGGGAATAAAAATATCAATGAGGAGTTTAACATCGTTATATTTTTTTTCTTTTTATAAAATTCCTAAGTGTACAACATGAAGAGCAAGATTTCTATCATCAGACTTATATCACATTCATCAATTACCTAGATAGCATGGGGTCCCTATTGAATATGTCACCACAAGCAACAAGTAATGAGCAAAGAATAAAAGGCATGCATGTTATTTTCAGGGAGATCATGGACTCTAATTGTTATTTTCTTCGATATTTTAGAATTGATGATCAAATTGAACTCAAGATAAAATGGATGTCCAAAGAAAAATTGTGCAAACCTGCGCTCTGTATAAAACAGAGGACGATTCATGGTAAAGGAGGTTCAGCTGAACTGGGGGTTTGGCTGACTCCTCATTGGTTCTGACTGCAACAATTTTCCTTGTGTGGTTCGTCATGGCTCATCACTTTTGGGGTGATCTTGCTTTGGTTATGGCGTTGATGTGCAAGATCACCCCCACACAAAAAAGAAAAAAAGAAAAAGAAAGACAAGAGTGAAGCAAAAAGGGCTCACTTGGTTGGAAGACCAAGGAGCCAACTTTATTTTATTTTATTTTATTTTATTCATGAAAGCTAGACCTAAGATAACTAGAGGGAGGCCTAAGGACTTGTGGCGTTGAAAACTAACGGATCAAGGGGGACCTAAAGACTCCGGGTAGAAGCTAAAAGAGACTAGATTCACAACATCTAAGTTACGATCAACTTCTATCGGATTAAGGAAAACTTTTAATCGATGGCCATTTACCTTAAAGATGTTACCTTCATTGTCGCGCAGTGTGACGGCGCCATGTGGTGAAGCGTCAACGACGGTATATGGACCCATCCATTTACTTCGAAGTTTTCCATGTCCGAAAAGCTTCACCCGTGAGTTGAACAGCAGCACCTTGTCCCCTGCTTTGAACTCCTTGTGCTTGATCCGCTTGTCATGCCATCTTTTGGTTCTGTCCTGGTAGATCTTGGCATTGTGATAGGTCTTGTCCCTCCATTCCTCCAGCTCAGAGAGCTGCATCTTCTTGTGCTGTCCGGCTCCCTTTAAATCCATGTTCCAAGTCCGGATAGCCCAATGCGCCCTATGTTCCATCTCTACCGGAAGGTGGCAAGTCTTCCCGTAGACATGTTGGTATGGTGACATGCCGATGGGCGTCTGATAAGCAGTCAGGTAGCTTGTTCTTCCATGCCTTCCCCATCTCATTGACAGTCTTCTGCAAAATGTTCTTGATTTGTTTGTTGCTCATTTCTGCTTGTCCACTTGTCTGGGGATGATACGGAGCGGCAATGTTGTGCTGAGCCCCAAGTTCTTGCAAAAAGTTTCGGAAGGTCTTATCGATAAAATGAGAACCTCCGTCACTTATCACCATCCGCGGAGTTCCAAAACGTGGGAAGATAATCTCATGAAACATCTGGCGGGCATGCTTGGCGTATGCGGCCCTGCATGGCATTGCCTCTACCCACTTGGACACATAGTCAACGGCCACCAGAATATACTTGTAGTGATAGGATTTTGGGAAAGGTCCCATGAAGTTGATGCCCCATACATCAAATAGCTCGACTTGAAGGTTGTGTGTTAGTGGCATCGCATCGCGAGCAGTGTGTCACACCATGAAGTTCTTCTCCCAAGCCTAAAGTGAATTTATAAATGGTCTCAAGAAAATACCGGTGTAAAAGCAAGAGTGAAACCCTAATTAAATTAATGCAAATAATAATCAGAATTGGCATGTGGAATTTTTCTTGAGTTCTACATATCGAAATATGCTAACAAGATTTTTAGTGCAATTTTCAGACCTCTAGAAATAATTTTAACCAATTAAAAAGGAGCACAAGCAATATTTAAATCCCTGGAAATTCTTTTCCCTTTTTCTTTTTCCTTTTTCCCTCCTTTTTCCCCTAATGGGCCGCCGGCCCATTTCCTCCTATCTCTCCCACGCCCTTGCTGGGCCGGCCGAAGACCACGGCCCAGCTAAGCCCGTGCCCCCTCCTCTCTCTCCTGGGGTCGCCGACAGGTGGGGCCCACCTATCGGGCCCGTCCCCAACCTCCAGCCGGCGCCGCCGCATCCTGCAACCGCCGCCCCGCTCGCTCCTGCACCTCCCGGGCCACGTCGCCCACGTCGCTGCCTTCCCCCACGTTCCCCGCGCCCACTCCCTCTCTCCCCCGCCTGCGCTCGCCCTCGAGACGGCCGGGATTCGAATTTCGAATCCCGCCTCTCTCTCCTCCCCACCTCTCCCCACTCCGCCGGCGATATCACGGCTATCCCGGCCACGATCGACCCTTGTGAGCCTATATAAAGCACCTCCGTTCCCTCCTCTCTCTTTTTCGCTTTGCAATCACCCGCTCCCGTGCTCTTCTTAGCCCTAGCGCCATTGCCCACCTCTCCGCCGTCTCCGCCGTTGCTCTGGCCGCAGCTAGCTGCCGCGCCGTTGACGCCGTGGCGTTCGCCGTCGTGCGGGCCGCCTCGTCCACCCCTCCTCCATCGGTTTCCGCCGCCGGAACCCACTACGCACCGTGCGCCAGTGAGCTTCGCCAATCAAATTAACACACATTCAATACAATCTCAGCGCATCGCCACCCTTTTTACTTTCGTTTTGTTTCAACGAGTTCTTGCTTTCGGGTTGAGCTGCATCGGTTTCGATCTTCAACTAGAGGTAAAACTTGTTATGGCGGCTTGTGTTCTCGGGATTAGTGCTTCCATCTTGATGATACTCTAATCTTGTTTATGTAATTCGTCGAGTTGTCATATATCTTATATAATCTCCGGCAATATCGCTATCTAACCTCTAATCGGCTAACATCTGTTACTAGAAGGCAGCCGATTAGGTTAAATACCGATGTTGACTTAGATTATATATGATATTTACCACTCTATGAAACATACAACGGCTTGATTGTCTAGATATTGTCCTTTTTTTCATACTTATAGCTGCATCAGTTGGGTTTGACCATATAAGTCGTGATTAGAATCTCAATCTCTAGCCTGCTTTTGGTTGCCGATTATGGTAGCATCGGGGTTTCAATCGATCTTACCTGATTTAACAACTTTTATCCTATGTGCTTAATTGACATGTTAAATCTGCCCTTTATGTTAAGATCTTGTTACATTTAAATATATCAGAGATAAATGATATGTCATCGGCAACTAGCCGATCGGCTATCGTTTATGGATTTAACCGCGGTTTCTTTGTCTTTGTTTCTTGTTGATTGCAGGATCAAATCAACTGGCACGCTCATACACCTAAAGGCAAGCTTTGGACCTGCACTGGAGTTAAGTAGATCTCCCAGGCCTCATGTTTTACATCAACACCGACCATGATGTTGACGATGGTTGCATACCACGGGTCAGAGTCTGTGACTTTCAACAGCATGTCGTCTTGCAGATAGTCATTTATCGGTAGTTCCTGTATGCTAGTGACTTGCATATGCGACAAATGGTCTGCAACAGAATTCTCTACTCCTTTTTTATCCTTAATTTCAATGTCAAATTCTTGGAGTAGAAGAATCCACCTAATCAGCCGAGGTTTTGCATCTTTTTTACAGAGCAGGTATTTTAGTGCAGGATGATCGGTGTAAACTATTACCTTAGCTCCTAGTAAATAAGACTTGAATTTGTCAATGGCAAACACTATGGCTAGGAGCTCCTTTTCAGTTGTGGCATAGTTAACCTGAGCTCCCGTCAACGTTTTACTAGCATATGCGATAACATGGTGTTTTCTATCCTTAGTTTGCCCAAGAACAGCTCCCACAGCAAAATCACTAGCATCGCACATGATTTCAAACGGCAACGACCAATCAGGGGGTTGGATGATTGGTGCTGAGGTGAGTGATTCCTTAAGAATTTTAAAGGACTTCATACACTCATCATCAAAGTCAAATGGAACATCCTTAGCTAGCAAGGAAGTTAGGGGTCTAGCAATTTTTGAGAAATACTTTATGAAGCGCCTCTAGAACCATGCATGACCCGAGAAGCTACGGACTCGCTTGACATTGACAGGAGGTGGAAGCTATCGAATTACTTCGATTTTTTGCTCTGTCCACCTCAACTCCCCTTTTGGAGATTTGATGTCCCAAGACTATTCCTTCACGAACCATGAAGTGGCACTTTTCCCAATTAAGTACCAAGTCCTTTTCTTGACATCTTTGTAAGACCCTATCAAAGTTCTCCAGACATTGATCGAAAGATTTACCATAGACTGAAAAATCATCCATGAAGACTTCCATGATATGCTCGATCATGTCGGAGAAAATAGACATCATGCATCTTTGAAATGACGCTGGTGCATTGCACAACCCGAACGACATTCTTTGTGGACACACCGAGTATTATACCATCCAGTGTCCAACGCGACCACCACATACTATTGGAGAAGTGGGATCCATACACGCATGAATAGCCACTCGTCCTCAATGTGTCCATGATCGCGGTTGACAACCTTCTGTTATAATAACCAAAATGCCGAGTAGTGAGCGCAAGACATAATCGTAAGATAGTTTGCCAGTCCACCACATCATATGCTCGTCAACCACTCGAAGGTGGCAACCAAAAGCATACCCCAGTGACTCGATCCAAAGCGCTATCCCCAATTATCTCAAGCGATCAAAACCCGTTACTCATGCTTAGCTAGTCCCCAGGAATGCGTCTAGCCTCACACTTTCATCGCAAGCAATTAATAAACATAGCAAGTACCATAATAGGGTCAAAGAGCAGCGAGATACATGACACATAATAGGGTCCGAGGTCCCAACATACAACACATAAATATAGCAGTGGAAGTCTCAAATATAGTTCATAAGCAAAAGATAAAATCAGTGGTGCCTCAACCCCACTAGGGCAAACCAAACGGGCAAGAGCCAAGCTGCAAGAGATCACTCATTGCCCTCGCCGCCCTCGGTAGAGCAATGACCACACAAGAAGCATAACTCATAACCGGAATCCTCTCCTGAAATTGCAGACACCGGGTTAAGTACAAGATTGTACTCGCAAGTCTTACCCAAAATTATATATACATAAGAGAGAGAGAAGTATGCAAGCTTTTTAGCCTATAGTGGGTCTCTAGGTTCAACATTTGCATAAAGCTAATTTTATCGAGAAATTAATGAGTAAAATAAGCAAGGACAAGTAAATCTAGCATTATTTTAATTTATGGACAGCAAGTATATAATTCTGAAATGTATAAGCAAATGAGCCCAAACGGCGCTCTCATCATCATCCATGGACTACCAAAGTCCATACCAACATGGCACAACATGCCAACACCACCATCAAACATAATCCCATCCATAATAACCCACATTTGATGCTAACATAACTGACTAACACATCAAGCATTGTCATAACCGAGGACGCGGCTATTCGAATAGATTATACTCTGATCAGAGGTGTACAACTGGACCCACACAAAATGAACAAAGATCAAATGCTACACACCCCGTCGAGTGCGGTACACAAGTGATTCAAGCTCATTACATGCCCTTTCTTAACCCCACCCCAACCACCTATACCACTCTGGGGTTCCCGACGACTCAGTCACGTGTGTGCGTGATGTGAGCAAGGCGGGCGCGCCACGCGGGATGCACCCCCGGCCAAACCTAGGCACCCGAGGCCTTCCAAAGGCTACCTACCTCACGACTCTCCAACGTGGTATAAATGATCACAGTAGAACTAGTAAGAACAAGCCGGTCCCAAATAAGGCATGTGGTAAGTACGAAGGGTGCTTGAATAGATGTCAAAATGTTCGGTCCTTAACGACCTAGACGGGGCTACTTGCATTAGGGGAAACCCACCTCCCATCATCGCCCTATCACCCGTCCAAGTCCACCATATTTCATCAACCATTATTCAGTGTAAGTGCTCAAGTTTTATACCCAATAATACAAGTTGTCTATATACCACAATTAATAGCACTGTCCATCCCTATAGTTCTATTAGCACTAAGCATGGCTAAGCATTAATGAATAAGACATCCCAAGTAATCCCAACCAGTGGTAATAGTGTATAAGGACAGCAATATCACAAGAACTAAATGCATAAATAGGTCCTACCCATACATCATAAACCAACAATATTAATATCTAGGCAATGCATGCATATACATATATATATATATATATACATATATATATATATACATATAGATTGCAACCAAATCATTTTTAGAGAAAGCATAGGTTCTATATGCTTAGGTGCTTGCCTTGCTGCTGAGGGTAGTCACTATCCTCCTCGGGATATGGCTCGTTACTCTCCGGAATCTCCGAATCTACCGAAAAGAAGCAATATGCGAATAAGAGCCAAATAAACATACACATGTAAAATGATCAATAAATCATGAAATAAATACAGTGGGTATAGCACATGCTAACTTGAATTTAGGTGAAAGAATCACTAGATTATCACTTATAGTTTGGGAGATATGAAAATGACAAGCTCTCAGGTGCTGAAAATGGCAGTTCTGTAAATATTAATGTTTCCTTCAGTACATTACAGGTAACATGCATTACAAACCAAGATTTCATGGTAAAGATTATTTTTAGAGTAAAGTACATCACTCACAGATCCTAAGAAAATTTATTTCACAACCATAAGTTTTGTCATTATTTATTTATGGATTTTAGAAGTGAAATCGTAGGAATGCTAAATAAACTTCTAAGCATGATTTAAGAGGTAGTTTTGCCAACAACAACACCACAACAGCAAAGAGTACTAAAATATAAGCTCAACAAAATTGGTTTCGGTTTCACAATTTTAGCTTTTACCAATAATTTCTTACGAATTTATTAAGAGCTAGACCACACGAGGGATATATATAGCTATTTATATTTTTACTGGGAAAACGAGTACAAAAGTTGGTCATTTTTATTTTACAACATTGAAGACCACATTTTTCTTAATCCACAGAAATTTGGTTCACTGAATTCGGAGTTCATATGAATTAGTTATGAATTTTTAAAACGCATACATCTTTCAGCTCAATAGCTATCTCAGAAATCGATTTCTATTTTCACTCCCCTTTTCTCCAACTTCCACCGGACTTCGCTCACATGGCAGCAACCTGGACGTAGGGTCGTGTGAGGCTAAGGCCTCGGGCTGATGGCAAGAGACGGAGCAAGGCCTCGGGCTGACGATAAGAGACGTTACCTAAGGCTGCTTCAACCGAAATGAGCTGCAGCCACATCCTAGCTGCAATAATGGAGATGGATGACCTGTTGAATGTTGCTGTAGATGTTCAACATGAAGGGAACTAAAAAAAAGGCACCATGGATGGCAAGGAAGCTCACCAAATGGAGGGAAACAAAGTCATGTTGCTGCTGCAACCATGCAGGCTGAAACCACCACTCTCTTCTCCTATTTCGATCTCTCTCAACTCTCCATGCATGTGCAAGATGTTCGGATGGATGGAAAGCTTGGATGATGGGGATTGTTGTGATCTAACATGCAGGGATTGATCTTGGGCTATTGGATGGGATTTGGGGAGGAGAAGTGAGATGAGAGCTCAGCTTGAGGAAGAAAAGAAAGAACAAGCAGTGAAGATGAAAGGGGAGGAAGAAGAAGGGGTTTTCTCTGCCCCCTTAAGTCCTGAGGTGGGAGCACGCCCATGGGTGTGTTGTGGGGCTAAAGAGGCACCCAAGGTCAGTGACAAGTGGGCCCAAGTCGTGGCTGTTAATGAGGGTGAGAGAGGTGGGTGAAAAACTGAGTACAGATTCGTTTTTGCAATTTCCAGGATTTATTTTCTTTCCCTCTCTTGGTAAATTCAATTTGACTAGGTAAAACTAGTTCAAAAATTAAGGGATTTGGTGTGGTGATAGGTGTTGGTTTCTAGGTTCCATTTTTCAAAGTTTCACTCAAAAATTCGAAATATTTTAATTCTGGTGAAAAGATGAAATTGGTTAGGCTGAAAGTTGGTTTGAATTTTCAGGAGGCCTAAACAGAGAGTAAAAATTCCAAAAAATTTATATTTGTTTGTGATAAATAAACTAGTATTTGAATAAATTATTACACATGTACACTTCTGTTCAAATTATTGTTCAAATAGAAGTGGTTTCAATTTTACCGATTAGAGTTAATTTTGTTATCGCCTATGATCAAATTGCAATATAGTAAATATGAAATCTAAAGGACAACAAATGCACTTCTAAATACCTGGTTATGAATGTAGGGCTGTTACATTCTTCGATATGCATATGTTCCGTATGAGCATGTGAACGTGGTCTTACTTTGATCATCGGGATGGATGGGGATTTGGTGATAACCATAATACCCATCAAAGAAACAAAAGAAGGAATGGTTCGCCAACCAATGAAAGGCAGCGGAAAGTGATCCTTCTTTATAGCCTTGTTGAGTTTCCTATAGTCAATACGCATCCTCCATCTTGTGAAGGTTCGTTGTGGGATCAACTCATTGTTCGAGTTTTCAATGACCGTCATGCCTCCCTTCTTAGGCACTACTTGAACAGGGCTAACCCACTCATTATATGGCACGGGATAGATAATCCCGGCATGTAGGAGTTTCAAGACTTCCTTTTTGACAACCTCCCTCATCCTATTATTTAACCTCCTCTGAGGTTCCCTAGATGGAGTGCAAGATGGGTTTAAGGGAATGCGATGAGTGCAAAGGGTCGGACTGATGCCTTTTAAGTCTTGGAGGGAACAGCCAAAAATAGCATGATGCTTTTCTAAAACAGCGATAAGTCGTGTCATCTCCCTCTCAGAGAGTTTGTCACTTATAATTACTAGAGACTCCGAATCGCCGTTCAAAAAGGCATAGCGTAGGACTGAAGGTAAGGGCTTTAACTCAATTGGGGCTCGTGACGGCTGATCCGTTTTTGGCAAATCAATCGTTTCTCCAGATTCATCCTCCCCTTCATTGAATTCTTCGATGAATTCATCGAGATTAGACTCTGGGGGCTCGAATGGAGAAATGGCCATCACTTCCTCAATTGGCTCGGGAACAGGAAGAGCTCCGTCGAAGAATTGGTTGATTGCAACATAGGGACGGAGGTGGCGATTCTTCCTATTTTCAGGTTGAGGACATCGGTTTCGGGCGCATCCAAGAGTTTCTCTATAGGATGGCCTATGAGTATGTCGAAATCAGAGATATCGAACACATGAAAATCTAAGATGACCTCAACGTTATTGTGCCATACGGGCACTCCAGAGATAATCCCTAAACCTTCGATAGTAGACTTTGTTGAAATTCGGAAGGTTTTGACGGTTGGTTCCAACAGTCCATCCCCTAAGCAATCGAATGTAATGGTTGCGGACATAATATTGACACCAACAGAGGGATTATACAGAGTACAAACCAAATTACCTCCAATGAGACATGTAATGGTTGAGGAGGGGCATCGGATCTGAATCGATTCAGATGAGAGCTCTCCTTCCCTTAACCATTCGTTACTCATGATGGTGGTCAACTTCTTCACCGTCTCTTTAAGCATAGCTTTATCGAGAGGATCATTAGAGTTGACCTTGGTCGGTGGTCTCTTCTCGCAAGAATAATTCAAGGTGTTTCCATAATCTTCAAGAAGATCCTCCTCGAATTGGAATGGATTTTCCGTAGGATGAATTTCTTCTTCCTCTAGCTCCTGCAACTGGGATGGGGATTTGGCAGATGAGTCGGGTTCCGAATCCACGTGCAGAAGTTCCTCACGGATAATCTTGACCTCCGGGACAGCTTCGCTTCGGCCAAAAGAATCGTTCTCTAAGATCAGATCTAAGAGTTCTCTTCCTTCGGCGGTTGTCTTGTGTGCGAACGATCCTCTGGCGGAAATATCGAGATTTTTCAGCAGACTCCTTGTCTAACCCGTACCGAAAATGTTGTAACCACACATGATTGGGGAAAGACAAGTCTGGGCCAAACTGAGTTAACAGTGAGAACCTGGCCCAGGCTGCACCGAGAGATTTCTTCTCATTATGTCGGAAAGAAAGGATGTCTAATCGAAGATTGATTACACGGGTTAACGGAAAGAAAGTAAGGAAGAAATGCACTTAAGCTCCTCCCATTCACCGTGGAATTTCTTGACAGACAGAGTGTACCATTGCTTCGCTTCATCTCTAAGAGAAAAAGGAAACAATTTTCACTTAAGAGTTTCATGTGTCATGCCTACGATGGATAGACATGAACATACTAGCTCAAAATCCCGAAGATGGAGGTATGGGTTTTCACCGGTACTACTAGAGAAAGTTTTCTCTCGAACCATGGCTATAAAGCCAGGACTGATTTCTTAGCCATCTGAAAGAATTGGTTTTGAAGAACAGCATGGCTCACAAAGATCAGCCTGAGGAGCAGAAAGCTTTTGAATTGTGGGTTGCTCCATCAAGGAATGGTATAAAAGAAGAAAAAAAAATAAAAATAAGGATACGAGGATGACCTAGACTCGGATAAATTAGCAACCGTTCCCCGGCAACGGCGCCAGAAATGCTTGTTGGTAATTCTTACGACCACAGATAAATCCGCAAGCGCACGGAATACCGCTGTAGCACTTCACCTTCGGGTGACCCCAAAAGGATATCGATCTCAGGAAACGTGTGTAATCTACCTAAGGCTAAGATGATCCAAGAACAACAACTGATGATAGGTAGGCTAGGCTAGAGAGGTTTTTTTATGGGTTTTAATTATCTAAGATAAGTTGAAGGTAATTCCCTATCTGTTGCTTCGGGCACCGACCCCTGCTGGTCTGCTAGCATGGTTCCGGCTATAGCTCTATGATGTATCCGAATGTGGAGGATTACTTGGATGGGATTCAGGGCTGTCGCCACCTGCCGCCTACCTCTGACAAATCCGTGGGATACACAACAAACAAAGGTAATCTCTAACCTAGACACCACGCCTAAGTTATTAATTACTACTCTAATACTTGCGCAGGAACTTCCTTCTCTATCCAGAGTCCTAGTACTAGAGCACTTAGTATAAATACTAAACAATGAACCCGCAAAGATGGAAATCTATCTTACTTAGACTAAATATAAATAACAAAAGAAAGGAACACGAATGCTTACTTTATAGAAGAAGTTCTCCGAACCCGGAGCAGAGTGTATCGACAGCTCCGGTACTCCTCCCGAATTCCTCCTAGGAAGCTACACTCATCGAGGTAGAAGTCGGATGAGCGCCAAACTTCCGGGCACTCCTCCAGAGCTTCCCCTCACTCTCTACCTTATTCTAATGTACAAAAGATACAATAAAGCCTTTTGTAATTCAGCTCAAAGTTGTGTGTTGTGAATGAATGAGAGGAGCTCTATTTATAGCCTCCATATGACGGTTACAGGTATGGGAAACGACCAAACTACCCCGCAACCGTCATTGGGATGAAATCAGGACTGTCCATGTAAAAGATGGTGATGAACGGACACCAAAGTGGTTTGGCCGAACTGAAGGTTCGGCCGAACCCGAGACGGCTCCGTTCGGCCCGTTTTTCGTCGTGGACACTAATTTTGAGGCCCTCAGCCCATTGGCATGATAGTTGGGCCCATTTGGAGTTGTTTAATTGACTTATGGGGCCTCCAATCCGTGTAAATGTGCCCTGAATGCGCAGAGGTGCAGTTTGTCGCTTGACAGATGTGTTTTCTTCTCAAAATACTTGCATACACATATTTCACCAACACTAGTGGAAATGATTAGTAATAATACCTACTACTAAGTTGGATACCATTTTTTATTTCATTATATGCAGGTATTGACGGTCAGATATTATGATTTAAGGAAGGTCAACACCCCCCCCTTTTGCTGACATCACCAGGGTCAATAATTGCGCAATAAATCGATTAAGGCTTTTGTTTTTAAAGTAAAAACACAATGAATCTTCTAAAATTCTTAGAAAATTCATCCGTGCTCCGTTTAAGCCCATTCAACTCTCAGTAAATCAAGAAAAATACAAAGAATCCATTAAAAATGGTTTTGTTCTCTGTTTCAGTAGTCTTATAGCCTATTTGCATTGTATGTCGCATAGATTCAGGCTTTCCCGACGCTCCGGTGTACTTCGAAATAGTCGTCGAAGTTCCTCCAGCCGCAGAGCAAGGCAAGTCATGCTTGTCTCTTGAACATATTTATCCCATATTGCAAATGCTCTATTGTTTTCCTTTAAATATTGCATTGGTTTATAATGTTACTATGGGTTGATTACCTACTGTCTTAGCCATATGATTTGATACCTTGTTCCTTTGCTAGCCTGGGTTGTAACATGACTAGATGTTGGATTAGGGATTGCTTAGCCATGCTTAGTTCAACTAGTACACAATGAGGGAATTAAATTAATGTATAGACTTCAGATCCTAGTATTGATGTTGGATTAGTGCCACCGTTTCGGTGTTGGTTAATTAAAATATATTAAATGGTGGGCTGTGGGTGCATGGTTTTGATGGTTGCACCCATGGCGATTAAGGACCGGTTCGCGGGATGCCCTAGAAGAACTTATTGTACTTACCACAAGCCAGCATGGGCAACGGCTGGGCTTGTAGTGTAGCTTTCCTATAGCTAACGCATCCAGGCAAGGGTGGGCGTGATGGAGCGGGATGGGCCCTGCGACGGTCTTTGTCACTCCCGAATTCACCTGGGCACGAGAGGGGACTACCCGCTGCCTTGCGAGGAGTGGG